ACCAAAATTCATTACAATGGGGTTTAAGCTCTTTTTCCTAGATTGTGAAACCAAAAGGCTAACATCCTTTTCCCAGATAAGACTGATACTAAAATATTCATCTGCTTGTCATTATTAAACTTTTGAGATACTTGCATTTATTTCCCAGGCCCAGAGAGGGAGGGAGGGAGGAAGGAAGGAAGGAAGGAAGGAGTAACTAATGCCACCGATGCTATCTGCTCATCCAGGAAGAACAGGTGGGGGAAAAGAGGAAAAGGAAATCCATTTATACCTTTATGAATGGGAAATGCAGGTAGAATTTTGCTGGAGACTGCCCCATCCGTCAATCTTTCCAGCACCACTGGAAGGAAGGTGCTGGAAAGGAAGAAAAGAAGAAAATAATTTGGGAGGGAAGACTAGAAAGCTCAGAATGGAAGCTGGTGAAGAAATAATTATTGTAGATGGAATGATAGGAGCGTTTAGTAGAGGCATAGGAGACTTCTACCCTCTTTTCACAAAATATTGTTAGCAAGTTAGTTTAAGACCTAGTGCCTGTATTCACAATGTTATGGTTGGTTCCCTTTAATTTTGGTTAGTTTGGGCTTGGTGTGCAGCACCTTTGGGTAATTCATGGTTCTGTATCTAGCTGACCTTGGCTGGTAGCATCTAGCTGACCTTGGCTGAACTCAGATACTAGGTACGATTAACTCTGGTTCGCACTCAGATGGGAGACTACCTGGATATTCCAGGGCTTTGGCCACACTGGGAGGTCCAGAAACGTCTCAGAAGGTGGTGTTGACAAACGACTTCTGCACTGTTGCCAAGAAAACTCCATGAATGGGTCCATGAAGACACCAGGAAACAAGCTTGATCTAATGGAGGCTTTACTTGTTATCATGCAAACCCCGAAATGGTTAGTTTAGTAACCAAGTTAAGCATGTTGTACAAACAAAACAAAACCAAATCAGCTGTTGAGTTAGGTCAGCTATTAAAATAGCATAAATGTTTTTGTATATCAACTTCTCCCTCTTCCCATCACTCTAATGTACATCATATTTTAGATTAAGACACATCCAGCTGAAATGCATACATGCTTCTCTTGCTTGACTTGGTAAGAACCATGTTTTGAAAACGGAGGATATTTGCTGCTTCCAAAGAGGAAGAGTTCCAAGAGTTCATCAGTAATTAAGTTTCCTGTCGCTTGATTCTCTAAGGATAAATCAACAGTACAGTATATATAAAATGGATGTTCATAAAACATTGCAATGCTCTATTTATAGTTTCCTGCAGCGACTAGGAAATGTCCTCTCCTACTTTCTTCTTCCCAAGGGGAGGGGGGCTTGGTCAACTCTGGTCAACCCCATCGTTGGTGTGAATTACATCACTGCCTGTACTTGCCTTTAACCATTCTTCTGAAACCACTGCTTAGTTTTGTCCTTAATCCTACAAAGGTTCTTAGAAATTAAATAAAGGTAGAGGGAAGGTTAAAATGAAGCCATATGGCTAAAAGTGGGACAGGAGTCAAAGCTGCTCAGGATACCGTTGGGTCTATTGAGTAAAAGAAGATGACATGGACCAGAATTCAAGAAAAGCAAAGGGTGAACCTTTCTACAAGGGATGGCTGGGTTCTGTTTTTAATGCCAGGGTCCCCAGCAGTTAGTGGCATCCAAGCTGAGATTAAAAATCGAATCAAATCAATTTCCTTCAGTGCCAAATCCCTGGTTTAATCAAGGCTGATGCAGAAAGGATGTAAGCACAGATTAAACATTCATCTTGGCTAAAATATGACCATCTTAAAAGATCATGATTTGAATTTACCCAGCCCCTCTTCTCTTAACCTCTTCAAAACTACAACTTTTGGCTCACATTTTGCATTAAAACAGCATTCCTCAACCTGTCTCCAGCTGGGCTTGATGCACTACAACTCCCATTGTGCCCAGCCATCCCTTGTGTGTGCTGTCTGGGAGTGTTGGAAGCTGTAATGGAATGCCACTTTTATGGAATGCCAGTTTGGTGAACCATACTTAAGGTATATTAACATACTGTGGTTGATTGATATAACAACTGGTTATATACAAAGTGAAACCATCAATTTAGCAATCCAAACCACAATTTCTGTGTTAAAACAATAATCTCAACGTATAAAGAGCAACATTAACCAGCTGCCTAATCCTCTGGCCCAAACGCCTTGCCAGATGCTAACAGGGTTAGGGCCATCTGGATCTCCAGGGAGCTACTGTTCCATAGCACAGATGTTGCCCTGAGAAAGCACGACTTCTGGGTCCAACACTGTTTGGTGGGAGGGACCTAGGCAGGCCCTCCCTGTGAAATCTGATGGGGCGAGCAGAGACAAGGGGACAGGCAGTCCTGCAAGTAGCCTGGCCCTACGGCACGGAGCGCCTTATAGGTGATGAATTATACACCTTGAATTACAGTGGGGCAAAAAAGTATTTAGTCAGCCACCAATTGTGCAGGTTCTCCCACTTAAAAAGATGAGAGAGGCCTGTAATTTTCATCATAGGTATACCCCTGGCCCTACGGCACGGAGCGCCTTATAGGTGATGAATTATACACCTTGAATTACAGTGGGGCAAAAAAGTATTTAGTCAGCCACCAATTGTGCAGGTTCTCCCACTTAAAAAGATGAGAGAGGCCTGTAATTTTCATCATAGGTATACCCCTGGCCCTACGGCACGGAGCGCCTTATAGGTGATGAATTATACACCTTGAATTACAGTGGGGCAAAAAAGTATTTAGTCAGCCACCAATTGTGCAGGTTCTCCCACTTAAAAAGATGAGAGAGGCCTGTAATTTTCATCATAGGTATACCCCTGGCCCTACGGCACGGAGCGCCTTATAGGTGATGAATTATACACCTTGAATTACAGTGGGGCAAAAAAGTATTTAGTCAGCCACCAATTGTGCAGGTTCTCCCACTTAAAAAGATGAGAGAGGCCTGTAATTTTCATCATAGGTATACCCCTGGCCCTACGGCACGGAGCGCCTTATAGGTGATGAATTATACACCTTGAATTACAGTGGGGCAAAAAAGTATTTAGTCAGCCACCAATTGTGCAGGTTCTCCCACTTAAAAAGATGAGAGAGGCCTGTAATTTTCATCATAGGTATACCCCTGGCCCTACGGCACGGAGCGCCTTATAGGTGATGAATTATACACCTTGAATTACAGTGGGGCAAAAAAGTATTTAGTCAGCCACCAATTGTGCAGGTTCTCCCACTTAAAAAGATGAGAGAGGCCTGTAATTTTCATCATAGGTATACCCCTGGCCCTACGGCACGGAGCGCCTTATAGGTGATGAATTATACACCTTGAATTACAGTGGGGCAAAAAAGTATTTAGTCAGCCACCAATTGTGCAGGTTCTCCCACTTAAAAAGATGAGAGAGGCCTGTAATTTTCATCATAGGTATACCGGTATACCTATGATGAAAATTACAGGCCTCTCTCATCTTTTTAAGTGGGAGAACTTGCACAATTGGTGGCTGACTAAATACTTTTTTGCCCCGCTGTATACCCAGAAAACCACTGGAAGCAATGGGGCAATATGTCATTCCTTCAGGGTAGACCAGACTAGGAAACCAATGTCATACACATCAGTACTATATATTAGTATTTATTACTACTTTATTGTAATGCTAGAGTAACAGAATCTTGCAAGTCTGAAAGTGCCTCCCCCCTTTATCTTTGTGTAAACTAGGGAGGGGCTTGTCTGAGATGTTTTCTCAAGTTACTTTCTTAGTCCAGGCTCAAGCCTCGCTTATCTGACCGTAGCCTTGGTAGTGGCTCTTCCTCCTGTCTTTCATGCCATTCCCTCTGCCCTCTACGTGGTGGTATTATATGGGCATAACAGGAAACATGAAAAACTGCATATTACAGTCATCCAAACAGGAGGTGTCTAAGCATGAGTGACCATGAGCAAGGCCTCCCAGTCCAGGAATGGGTGCAATTGGCACACAAGATGAACCTGTGCAAAGGCCCCCTTGGCCACAGTTGCCACTTGCTCTTTGAACAAGAGTTGTGAGTTCAAGAGGACCCTCAGATTGCACACTAACTCTGACAGGGGAAGTGCACTCACAGGAAGAGTTAAAAGTGGAAGATCTCCAGACCTGGGGGAGGGTGCTTAAAACCCACAGCCACTCTGTCCTGCTGGGGTTGAAGTGAAGCCAGTACCCCCACAGCCTCCAGGCACTGCAAAAAAACCTTGGTGGCATCACCTGGTTGGCCCAGGGCAGAGTTGTACAACTGGGTATCATCAGCATACTAATGATACGGCACCTCATATCAACAGATGACTTCACCCAGCAGTTTCATGTAGACATTAAAGACAAGTGGGGAGAGTGGGGGCCCTTAGGCCCCTGACAAATCAGGGGTCTTGTGCTCAAACAATTTCCCCATCAGCCCTGGGGAAAGGAGAACCATCGCAGTACACCTTTCATTCCCAATCCCAAACTGACCCAGAAGGATGCCATGATCAATGGTATTAAATGCTGCTGAGTGATTGAAGAGGACCAGGATGGATGCTCTATCATCATCTCAAGCCTGCCAACCATCATTGACAAGCATGATCAGTGCCTAAAAAGGTAAGGTTGGAAACTAGAGAATTGTCCATTTATCTTGGGTCCAGTGATGCTTCTTAAGGAGGGGCAAACAACCACCCTTCAAGGTGGGCAGAATCACCCCCTGCCACAGAGAAGCACTCACCTGTGGATGGACCCAACCACATGTCACCTCCCAGATCTTAATCAACCAGGAGGGACAGGCATCTAAACACAGGTGGCTGAACTTATTACAGCATTTCTTTCCAACTTGTAAATCACTTTAAAGTTGAAAGGCTGTTCCTGAATCACAAGTAGAAACGGCACTGGCTGTATAAATTGGTTCCGCTGAATCTTCTGGCCGTTCAGTTCGCTGCTTTTTTAATTCACCAAACCTCTTTGTTGTTCCTGACTTGCATTGAGGAAAGAGGATATGCTGCGTGCATTATGTTTCATTGTCTTTATTTTATTATTTTTAAAGATAATATAAAACGGATCTGATTTACAGCAGATTTCCCAAACCCGCAGGGTTTAAAATACCAAAGTGCATTTTGAGAAGAGTGAAATAGCATTTTTTTTTCATTTCCTCGTAGTGGCAACTTTGATGTAACCACTTTCACTTCCTTCCCAGCTATGACATGACCTTTCTATGTAGAAGAATTTGGCCACTTAATCCTGCCCCATCAGTACCCACAAGACCTACTATCACCAGATGATGTTATGGTCCAAAAGAGTCTTGCTGCACAACCAAAGACCGACAGATTCAGCACCTACTGAGAATGCCCAGTAGTTCGGAGGACAGATATCGCGGGCATGGGGGGTGCTGCAATTGGGCACAACCCCTGGGCTCATGCTCTTTTATCGCCAGCAATGAAAGAACATTCAACTGCCCACTCAGTCAGCCTCCCTAGTAGACTGGGAAGAGGAGGGAGGTGGACACATCCTTCATCTCAGACAGGCAGACATTTGGGGCCAACCCTCCATCTATCCCTGCTCATCCTTTTTGGCTGGTCTCAACGCTGCCAAGCATTGATTGCCATCAAACCGTACCGACAACCTAATGGTACGCTTGGCTTAGTCAGCCCAGGAAGAAGCAGTTCTCTTTTCCTCAAGAAAAGTCTTGTTTTCGTATGGAGGCCTGCCTCCCACATTGAAGACTTTGTCCTTGTCTATACCCTATGGGCTAAAACATCTCACAAGGCTTATAATGGGTCATGTTTTCATGCATCCTGTTGACCAACAGTTGCAAACTATCTTGCCCTTGGCAGAGAAAGAGAGGGAGACCAGACAGGACACCTGGCAGTTATGCTACATCAGACTAACCCCAGTCCACCCCCATTGTAAAATAGGATGGATTTTTGCCAGACAAAAAGATGGAAAGGTCAAAGAATTTCCAGGAGATATGACTCAGCTTGAGAGTCACATGGAAAGTACATCAGGCCTTGGACCTGCTTCGTAGGTGACTGTCTGGTACATATGCTACGTTTAATATACATTAAGCCACCAACTGCTAAGATGACACAGATAATACCCCCAATGGAAACCACAGGGATAATGTAGTTTTGTAGCTTGGATTGGAAATGGGAAAAGTTGAAAGGAACTTGTGGGGTGTTTGTGATGGTTATTGAAATGTTCTCCTCATTAAAAGTTTCCTGGTGATAACCTGAAATTGGGAGATTGTCTGAAGTTTTGGAAAAAGTACTCCCCAAAGTACCAGTTTCAATAGATAAAGGTGTTTCTGTAGTGTCTCCTTCACTTTGGGCATCAATTACATCTCTAAACTTAACAGAACTGAGGTTGCTTCCATCAGAACTGGAATGGGTGCTGGAATGACTATTATAGTTAGTAGGGAAGGACTGAACTGTAGAACCCTCAACTGACTGTGGTTTATGGTCTGTGTTAAAGCTGCTTAAAAACAAACTGCGTTGATCAGAGGAGTTTGAAAGCTTGGTAGGTACCATAATAGATGTCTTATCTTTTGTTACAAACTCCATGAGAAGTTTGGTGATGGAAGAGTTCATTGGATAATGTGTTGAAGATCTCATGAGAGTCTCTGAAACAAATCCATTATCACTGGTACTTGTTTCATCAGTTCCTGTAAGAGAGGTAGAAGGTGACACCAAAAGATGAGTTGTTCTAGCGAAATCCTCCAGGCCTTTCCTTGTTGGTGTGAAATGTTCCCCAAATCTTTTGTGCCCCTCAGTGGATTCCGACGCTACCCCCCTATTTGCAATCGAGTCAGATTGAAGGGTGGGTTTAGCAGCAACTGTTTCTGGTTGAGGAGTGAACAGTGTAGAATATGTTGTGGCATCCGACCCAGCCAGCACCTTTTCTATAGAAGAGTTGGGATCTCCCGTGGTTATCACAGGGAGTGTTGCTGTCTTGTAGGGGGTTGTGCTAAATGTTTTGCTGGGGTGAGCTTGACCACCAACTTCCTCCATAGCTTCTCCTGAATGTCTGTCAACCACAGGGAGATTTTCTGTGGTGGTGTCATATCCAGAAAGTGAAGGAACATTCCTTGAATCTATTTGCTTCATAACTTCCTTTACCCACTTGTCATCTCCTCTGGCACAATAATATTTTGCCTTCTTTGTTTTCAGTCTGGAGAAAGGAAGGAAGAAGAACTCAAGTAAGAACAGACTGAATGGACCAGATACAGGACATTTTACCATGTTTAAATCCCACTGACTTTCAGTAGAATGCATTTAATTTTGAAGTATTGATGAAAGATATTCCTATCCCATTTCCTGCCCCAAGATTAATAAAATAGAATTTCTGGATTCCCAGAGCACTGAACCTCAAACAAACAGATGAATCACATTCACACAACCTATGAGAACAATGGCTGGGTCTGATATGCACAACCAAATGTTATGCAACCCCATTTTAACCTAGACTAATGTATGATTTAAACTCAGAGACAATGTCATAGCGCAGCCTGGTTGAATAGTACACACAAAAGATCCTATCCCTGAATAACAGTGCTCACTGTATTTAATTGATTTGATTTTACTTTAGTTTAACACAATTTTTGTCTTGTTCTGCTCACTTCCAAACCAAAAACAAGGCCCCTTTTGCTCCTAGAAGTCAAAAATAAATAAGTAGGCTGGTCAATTTAATTTAATCTCTCATGAAATCTTGAAAACAAGGACAGGCTGAACATTTTAAAATGTCCTTTTCTGCTTTGGAGATTCTGTGAGACAGGATTCAAGACAGAAAATAGGGTTGGCCCAACCTGGCCGTTTGCTACTGAACTTCTGGGGTCTGGAGGGCACCTAAATGGGAACCGGGGAGGCTCCATCTGCAGTCAGCCATAGGAGGGGTCCCAAAGCCAAGATGACAACCATGATCACACACCTGTTTCCAAGTTGGCATCACATGCACAGCACACATAAAAATGGGGCAGGGCTTCAGTTGCCTGCTATGGCCACCACCTAATTTTTTTTGACCCTGCCACCCCCACAGATCCCTCGGTATACATGGGACTTGGCTCATAGGCTACCCAGTCATTCTCTGAAAGGACCTAAGTCCACCTCTATGCTAAATTTCTTCTTCTCGAGCTCTGTGGAAAGGCTCTGACAAGTCACAGCAGGATTCATGCTCACGACTCCGAATCGGAAAGAGAGAAGAAAACCTCATATGGTACCTGGCATATCATGATAAAAAGGCACTTACATCACCGAAGTCTTGGCTCTGCAGGTGATATTTCTGTAGCTGTCTAGAAAACCCAGAGGAATTGGTTTTGATATAAACCTGGGGCATTCGGTTGTACAGGATTTTGTTGAATCAGGTTCTCCTGGAGCAAGGAAACAATCCAAGACGGAAGTCCTTATTAAAGTCACCAGTGACTCTTTCTTTTTCCAAGAATAAAATCTCACAATTGGTTAAGTTCATATAATAACACGGATCTTAAATCTGAATTAATTGCAGTGGTTGCATAATATGCTCCAGCCCAGAGTTTCCCAACCTTGGCAACTTTAAGATGCTGGCTAGGGAATTCTGGGAGTTGAAGTCCACCCATCTTAAAGTTGCTGAGGTTGAGAAACTGCTCTAGCCAGAAACATAAACCCACTTGCCACCTAGTATTTTAACTGCTATTTCACCCAACAGACTGAGAAGTCTGGATTTCCCACAACACCCAAACTGCCCCCTTTCAGTCCCATCCAGGTGTGATGCAAACATAGCCCATTCAGCCTGGGGTGCCTCTGCAAATCAGCAACAGCTTCCATCGAACTCAGGAGCACATTTTCCTGCTTGCAGAGTTTCAACTTGCGGGGGACGCTGAGCCCAGAAAAGGTTTTCCTCCAGCAGGGATACAGCCTTCGGCGTTTAATCAGATGGGAACCCCAGCCCTGCAAAGATGCGCCTTGTCCTATTCAGCTAGCTATTCTGAAGTAGGAATCCCCAGAGGAAAAAAAATGGGACACCCTCACCCCCCTCCTCCTCCTCCTCCTCCTCCTCCTCCACTATTCATTTTTAGCAAATGTATAGAACATTTTTAAAAATAAATTTATATACCCCTTTATGTATTTATGGACCACTTGTTTTTAATATATTTACAGAGTACATCTCAATATATTAATAGTCTACACTGTAGTACTATGTACACTGTATATTTATGGATTCTTATTATTTTAATATCTTTATAGGTCGTTTTTATTATTTTTAAAATGTGTTTATAGACCACTATACATCTTATGGGCCATTTATTTTCAATGTATTGATAGAACATTTTTATTATTTTTAATACCTTGAGAGACTGTTTATCATGTTTATACCCCATTTGTTATTTTTAATATAAAGATACACCGTTTTTGTTATTCTTTAATACCTCCAGAGACTACTTAATATATTTATGCATTATTTGTTATTTCTAATATACGGGTAGACTATTTTTGTTATTTTTTAATATCTTTATAGACTGTTGCATCAGGAAGCCTGTGATGTTATTATCTTCCTCTTCTAATCTGTCAGAAGCACTCATAAAACTCAGTAGACTTGCAATCTCTTCATTCCCTGATCAAAGAGAGTTGATGACTTTTCAAGCAGATGCAATAGGGTCAGCATTTCTCAACCTTGGCAACTTTAAGATGTGTGGACTTCAACTCCCAGAATGCTGGGAGTTGAAGTCCACGCATCTTAAAGTTGCCAAGGTTGAGAAACACTGCTGTAGGTTCTTTATCTCTTTGATACATGTTCATCAGTTCATCAGGGCTGATCTTCTCAACCTGCCAGACATCCAGAGTCTCTTTTACACAGGAACAATGGAGATATTTCCTCCAGGACCAACACACAGGCATAAACCCACAACACATTTACCCCAGTAAGGCCCTAACCAAATCAATGCATCTTACATTTGGTTTTGGTAACACCCAAATCACATTAGCCAGCTGCAACTCAACATTTTAGGAATGCAGGCTCCCCGCCTGCCTTTGCCAGGAAGCGCCAAATAGCTGATGAGTCCTGGCCCTCAGAGAAGACCTTCACGCTAAGTGAGGGAGTTTATTGTTGTAACCACATATCGTAATAACAGTAAAATAGTAAGACTGTAAAATAAAGTAATAAAAAGAGTATTAGATGAAAAGGTTACAGCAAGATAAAGGCAAAGCCACAAGTAAGAACTTAAGTATTTCTTTCTACGTTCAAATGTCAGCAGAGCAAAAGTAGCTAGTTGGTTGCTGACAGCTGGGAACACATCTGCAAGAAGATAGTTCCGTTTTTCAAGGTCTGAGCCCTGGAGTTCACCTACCATGAAGAGTTTGGCCCTGATCTCATTGTAAATGGGGCAGTGGATAATGGATAATGTCCTGCACTTGAGACTTCATGGCATCAGTAGCCCATCCCTATTGGCCAGGCAGAAATGGTGGGTGTGGCTTGGTCACTACAGCCTATAGATGTCCCCAGGCTGTGATCAAAAAAGTCAAGATGGTGTTGGTGATACTGGGATCCAAGCTCCACCTGCTTTTTTTGTGAGATACACATAAAAATGGGCAGAGCGTTCATCACACCATCATGGCCATCTTAAGTTTTCTGACCACACCCTGCAGATACTCTTGCGATATCCAACCTGTTTGAGGGTAATTCCATTAAAAATCTACTTTTAAAAACATTGTCCAGTTAGTTAGGGCACACATTTTAATCTCTTCTGAGTTTTTAAACTTGACTGCAGAAGACAAATCTGTAGATTTCTTTGAAACGTTGGAGACATAAAGACAATTCTGGGGAAATGAATTTGACCCTAAATCCTTCCAACACGCTGAAGGAAAAGTCTTCTAAAAGTCTTCGAAATATACAGCCCTTGATTCAACAATGTATTTATTTGATTCTGAACAGCTGTCAGCTCATAACATCTGGGTCTGATCAGCTGAGTAGTATGGAGAGGTTTCCATTGCTTTATTACACCTACCCCAAATCTCCAAACTGCAAGACATTCCAAGAATGCAGTTCTTATCTACATCTGTTTTCCTCTCTACAGTAGCTACCAGAGGCTTACAACGTTTTGTAATGTTTGAGTTTTCTTATAAAGGTGCAACTTAAGCATTCCAACAGGCGAAGTCCACTGTCTTGTATCCCTTCACCAAGGGAAGACATCTTTGCAACTTTAAAGAAACCTCTACATTCACTTCTTTGTGGTTGCTATTTTGCGCCCGTGTGAGTACTGCTTCACTCTGAGACCAGATGATGGACTGGAGTCACGTTCAGCAGGTCTTCCCGGCACCTGAAACTTCCATATGAGACTGTAGGGGGTCTTTCAGAGTCTGGTACCATCTATTTCTTTTATGGGGTCCTGCCAAGGGCAAAGATATGCTACCAGGGATGGCTGTGGGGTGGGGCTTCGATCAGATGGTTGTGGCCACCATCATGACTTTACGGACACCTCCCAGATGCTACTTATATAAATAGGGGAAAATGAGCTACTGGGTTTTCCTTTAGGGCAGTGTTTCTCAAGTTTGGCAGCTTTAAGATGTGTGGACTTCAACTCCCAGAATTCCCCAGCCAGCCATGGGTTAGGGTTAGGGTTAGGGTTAGGGTTCCCAATTCTGGGAGTTGAAGTCCACACATCTTAAAGCTGCCAAGCTTGAGAAACACTGCTTTAGGGTTTTGGAAACTGACTAGAAGGAATTAGGAATTTGACTAGATCAGTTTTTCTGATAAAAATCAGATGGTGCATCTGATTAATAAAACGACCAAGTGCCAAGAACAGAATGGGTATGAGAGAAAGCCTCCCCCCTTTTGTTTTCTCCACGAGAATGGAGATACTGTATCTTAAAAAAGGACTTCCCTTGCTCACTAGTGGGATAAATTCTGGGCTGGGCAAATTAAGGAATTGCAGTTCAACTCAGGAGAAAGAGATTGGCTTAGACACAAAGCCCCAGATGCAAATTGGCTGTGGCCTTCTTCTCATCTAAAGCCAGAAGGAGCCTTGGGAATTATTGTGTATACTCATTCTTTTCCTTAAAACTGTTCTGGGCTGCAAACACTCCCCCCCCCCCCCC